ATATATATATATATATGACTCACAAGCATACCTCTTGGGATGACGACGTTAAATGCAAGGAAAAAAACAAAACCAATGTTGGAGCTTTCCATGTTCCAACAACTATATATATATTAACCTTTCCGTTAAGTAACTGATAAGTCACACCAAAAAATTCTGCACTAGAAATTCTCCAAAAATATTTCCAGTAAATATTTCACGTTTTCAATAGACAAATCCAGAAAAGCTGCAATAATTAAGTGGTCGTGTTTTAAACGGCTTTTTTAGTTTTAAAGAGAAATTTGGATTTCTGAGTTAATTTGAAGTCAGTGTTTCAGATATATATCAGGCTGTACCTGACGAGCCGTTGAATGCGTTTCATCAGACCGAGAATTGAAATACTTATATGACACCACACAAAGCATCTTTTGAAATTACAATGCGCAATTAAACAAATTAAATAGCCACAGATGTTTCTCTTTTGTTAAACAATGCAATGGAGATTATTCAAATTAACAGCTCTTTCAGTTCTGTCAAATATTTTTTCCTAAAAGCAAGATGAAAAAGGCCAGCTTAAAATAGTTGACAGAACTGAAAGAGCTGTTAATTCCTCCTGCTCCTGGGTAATGCCTTAGTCTATTTAGTCCTCTATTTGACTGGTACTTTTAGGAAACAAGTACCATTTAATTTAACCGGCGAATTCTCTTTAATCTTTTTTGACAGAAGTAGCTAGAAGTCGTTTAAATGGCGTCAGAGTATACATGTTTTAAGCCTTTTAATAACAAAACTGTCTGTTCTTAAGATACGATGCCTCCAGCATTACTAGTGTTGTTTCCACTAAAGACCAAACATCACTGAAACCTATGAGGAAGGTTAAGCCTGTTTTACATAATTCAATACTCCTGTTTCTAATTCTCCATTGTACGGTTTCGTTCAGTGACCATAAATAATAGTTCCAAGCCGAGGTTGGAGTTGAGGCGATGATAAATATAGTTTTTCTAAGCGCGCAAACTTCAACTTTAAAACGGAGTGTATTCTCTTTTAGCCTCGATTTCCTATGGGATAATTGTGAATATTCATGTTTTCAAGTCTTCGTCCGTTGAATTTCGAAGTGTTTGTATTGTTGAAGATGTGCATTCTTTACATTTCATCGTTGGTATTTGTAAATATTTAAACTCTGAAATGAAGATAACCCTGTATAAATGAATTTGTAATAAAGGACGATATGCATGACATTTTCGAAAACGGCTTCTTTTTTCTTTTTTTTTTTTTTTTTTTTTTTTTTTTTTTCTTTTTTTTTTTTTTTTTTTTTTTTTTCTTCTTGTCTTCTTACAAACATAAATTTTTCACTATATTTTTCTGTTATTATTATTTTTTATTGCTTACGCTGTTTTTCCGTCATGTTTTCATTAATTAGTATTCGAAAACCAAAAATAGTGTAGACCCAAGTGCAGCCTGTCAAGTCATTAATGCTGTTGGCAACCACAAAATTAAACACCATTCAATGTTGCCAGATAGACGAAAGCCGCGCAGTCTCAAATTACAACTTTCCCTGGATAGTTTTATTTGAATCCTCCCAACCCATTAGACAATAAAAGGACAAAAACAAAATTGTGGGAAAATAATATTTTTAGGAACAAGCATTCCACCTGAACTCACATCAAGCATACTGGTCAGCGGCATGAAGAGGTCATGATCCTATCCCAATATAAGGGGTTATGATTCCTTAGGCCACAGAGGGTTGATAATCCACTCCTGGAGGTCATAGTCCCCCAAAATTAGCCTCTTGTTTCCATGGTATCAACACAGGGGGCCCTAATCCCCAGCTATACAGTTCGCCGTGGGTCTATGGGGCAAAGATTGACTAGTATGGAAACACTTAACACAAACCCTTAGTTTATTACAAAAGTAATATAATCGTGTTATAAAGAGGAGAAAAAAAAGCATATGAAGTTTAAACAGACCCTATAGCTACTGCTAGAATGGCTGGGTTCATGTCTTGCAACCCTTATAAGCTGATATGATTAACTGTAACTTTGGTGTTTACACCAGTATGCATTAGTACCTAGCTATACATAGTGTATATCTAGATCTGTATTTCAAAAACTCATGAATAATTAATGAGCATTTGAACAAATTGGAGCCAGCATACACGTCACGTGCATGGACCTTTTTACCCCATAAAGTCCTCTTCATTAGTTTTCTTTATATAAAGAGTTTGAGTTTGGTCTATTAGTATCGTCTCATGTACGATCATCGACGACCTTCAAATTGTCGTCGTCTAGTGCCCCAGTCTTGAGTTCGGCATGATGTCTTCAACTCGTGGGAGCCTTTTTTGCACTTGCTGCGCATGGCAGTGACGTACAAACCTCACTGCGCATGACATTGGTGTACAAACGACTATCAAAGTATCCATCCATCCATCCATCCATCCATCCATCCATCCATCCATCCATTCATCCATCCAACCATCAACTCATTTATTATCTTTGTTCACAGATAAGAAATGAATTCACGCGAATTCTTTTAAAGAAAGATTCATCAAAAGAAGATCCTTTCGCAACGTTCAAGGAAAATTTCACCGACGTTTGGGCAAATAAAGTGTTTGCATATGCAACAAGGCTATATTGCTCTTAGAGCAATGGGTGTGCGGTTTTCATTTTTTGTGTCAAGTGGCTTTGTTTTACTTTTAGCGCAATCTAATCACGACAACCAGGCAGTGAGTAATGTTTAGGAGTTCTATTTTTAGCTTTCTTCATGGGAAAAAATGAACTCATAAATGGTTGGCACCTAAAAATATGATATAGATTGCTTATTGTATAAATATAAAAAATCTCCATAAAAAAGAACCTCGAAAGTTTTTGTCGTCACTCAAGCATTCGAACTATATGTGGTCGAGTTCCTGAGTTTTACTAGTTATTTACTAGTAGAAGTTTCAAGGACCTCTCGTTCGTGAAACCACGAGTTTTATCTGCATCTGTATTTTTTTCTTTATTCACTTGAAGAAATAGCAGGTACTTGAGTAAGACAATGTCCAAATCCTTTACTCTACCTTGTTGGTCGCAAATGAAATGTATATCTCGCATTGTTCGTTGGAGTGCAAACACGCACACAAACGAGTCTTTTTAAATACATACGTTTCGACAAGGATGTCARACAATAAATTGTTATTTAAATAAAACAATAATTGAGATATAGAGCATATGAACTTACCGAATCACGGATCATGTATATAAATAAAACAAAAGGTATACAGGACGTCATAAAAACACTTGTTGATGACGATAGGTGAAAAGATTACTGTTAAACATATCCGCATTCGTTATTTATGAAGCGATAAGAATGCCGAATGTGATTGGATACGATAGAAAATAATGACAGCTGATTGACAGCTTCACAGAATATCATGGGTTACCCAAACTGATCTTAGTAGCATTTCGGCCTGAGGGCCGAAACAAAAACCCTTGAATCATTGATATACGACGTAGCGGAAATCAACAGGCTCGGGGAAAAGTTCCCGTCTAAGGAAAAAGGTACGAGGTTGTCGTTCGAAGTTTGTCTTGTTTGTTTGTGTTTTCAGTTTTCTAATTATTTTTCTTACAACATATAGAAATTGAACAGACATACATCGTCCTCTTGCCAAAGATCGTGAAAGACAAGTCCCCAAGTGACTTCTAGCAGTTGGATACAGTGGACCGCGCATACAGTGAAAACCGAACTTCTCATTAGCCAATCATAGCGTGTATGGTTACATAGGATACCGGGGAGAAAAAACAAAACTATATTTGAGCTTTGTTGCCTGTATTATATTTGTTTTATTTGAGACGGCTCGATAATACTTTGTTTAAGGTTTAAGAAATTATCAAAAAATGCTCTCACAGAAATTTCTCCAAATTTACTGAGCCTTGCGGCAAAATACTCAAGATACTAAGCCAAATATAAAAACTTAGGTTAAAAAAATAGAGAAAGTTGGCAATAAAGCAAACGCACTTATACTTCGCAGGGGTTTTGTGTTAAAGTGCAAGTAAACCAATTTTTTAAATGTTTTTCAGCAAAAGTTGAACCATCTATGTAGCGGACATCTTCTTTCGTTCAGTGGGGACATCTAATTCAGTAATGGGTACACAACGCAAAACGCTCGTCGATTATATCAGCGWTTTAATTCTCGATAATCTTGATGTTCTTCAGTTATTTCATTCACAATAGACATGTTTATAATTACGAGGTTCACATATGGTGTACGTATTACGATCGTCTTGCTGCCTGTCCCGGCTTACATCCCATAATTTCAACTTATGAATATTAATAACCTACGCTAATTAGGAAATCAAATAGTTGTCGTCTACAATCTAGAAATACGAATTTTAATTTGTTTTTACAATATTCCTTTTTTTTGAATTTTTTCGAGCCATTCAAAGTGCTGCTATGATTTTTATGCCGACTACGGAAATTTAGCTGTTAAAATGTCAACGTCGGAGTCTAATTCTTATCTAAGCTCCACATCTGATAATGACTCAGAATACAACTATATTCCGATACAACAATATCGCGATATTGAGACAGAAAAGGACGAAGCAACTGATAGCGAACTCGAGAGTGATATGTAAGAATTGAATGGCGATCGCGCATACACGGACGAGCCTTTGGCCGATGAAGAACGGCTGGAGGAATACGAAATAAAGCAAGATGAGAAAAAGAAGCGTTTAGAAGGCTTGAAAGATAGGTTGTCAGGGAAGGAAAATCTGAGTAACTGGTAAGTTCGCTAAGGCATTATTTGAACCCTCGTCTTTACTAGGATGAAAGACCAATGTTATAGCTAAATGTGGGAATTTTCTAACTAAGCTTAGTACAAACTCGATTGATTCTCTTGCTTATAAACACTTATTTGGTTACCTAAAGGTGCTGTTGCGGACGATGCTCGATAGAGCTTTTGCAAAACTCAAACGAGTGCTATTGTTGTCAAGACATCGAGCAGTGTTGCGATGCCTTGGCAGATGAACTCGTACTTCGAGAAGTCAGCGTCCCGCCATACTGCATCACACTTCACCCAGCTTTTGAACCAGTTTGCCTTAACTCATGGTCACTAACATTTTCCTCCAAATGAATCACTTTTACGATTTGAAGTTGAAAAGTAATGCGCCGAGAAAACTCCAAGCCACTTTAAACTGCAGAGACGCGTACGCGCTCGCGCAAAACATAATAGTAACTTTTCAATTTAAGCTATCTTATATGTTATCTTATATGTTATCTTATATGTCGCATAATGCTTTTCTTTTTATTCTTTTATTTTATGTACAGCCTGCAGAGGGAGATTTGGACGAGGAAATAGGATCAACTGGGGCTCCAAGAATAATTGGATCTGGGCCGAACCTTCTTGAACTCGAGCCCATATACATACGTATGGAGGGCGAGATACTTTGTGGGCCGCTTCGAACAAGAAGCCTAACTGAGGCAGCCTGTTTGCTGGTAGCAGCATATTACACCTTTAACGTCAGCTACCCAAACAGCTGTGTGAACTGCTTTTCTTTCCTCGAGGCAACTTGCCTAGAGGATACGAGAATTTTAAAGAACAAAATAACAGTCCACAGAATGATAACAGCTATACAAAACTCTTTATAAAATAACTAAGATATAACGCGCGCTCTGATTGCTCAATTACCGTTTTATATAACTCAACATATATCGTGAGGAAATGACGTCAGCAACGCAAGCGATGTTTTATTATTTCTTTAATTGTTAGTTATATCTTAGTTATTTTATAAAAGAGATAGAAACCGAGCGCGCGTGCAGTGTTGAGATATACAAGCACGCGGGAAATTGCGTGAGCCCTCGAGAAGTGCCGAGACTAGCATTTCTCTCGGACTCACGCAATTTCCCGCGCGCTTGTATATCTCAACACTGCACGCGCGCTCGTTTTCTATCTCTTCATAGTTATTTCTTGTTACCGGCAGAACTTTATGTTTTCTTAATTCCTGAACCGAACTGGTTTAAGAGCTGTTTTTCTCTTAATAGTTCTTGAGGAAACTTGCCTCGATAATTCAGATTTAGTTGTACACCCAAAGATTTGTATAAACGGTTTTTCCCACTATAAGTTCTTCAGGCATAACATTAGGGACCTTAAGCATCTAGGACGTTGACGTCCAGGACGTGAACCGGAAGTAATAATCTGCGCCTGCGTGTACTGCGCATGTGCTAAAGCCACCGTCATGAAGCTGAAAACGCTGTCCTGAACGTGAATTTTACCCGGTTCAAGTGATGAAGAGAACGTTGTAAATACTTTCCCTCCACGTCGACAATGAGTGTATTCCAATTCATTCCAGACACTCAATCAAAGACTCCGTAAGTAAAGCCTTTATTCATCTATTTATCACATTATTAGCTATTTTATATTTCTGTTGTTTTGGGTTTTTGGTAACCTTGGTCCATACGAGGGCAACATTTGGTCGAGGAAACGGGTTGTCATTGTAAAAGCTTGAAGATTCGTGTAGGATTCTATGGCATTTCTTCCAAATAAAAACCGGAAAAAGTCCGAAAACATTACCCTACTCGTGTTTGATAGTTCGTGTGAATTATAAATTGGGTAAACTAGCAATTATGCTTACTTTTAACAGTAAAAACTAAGCTTTTTTCTTTTTTTTTTTTTGTAATTTATAAAACTAAATTTGTACCCTTAAAATTCTAATAAATGAATAATTTTTTTTGCTTATATAATAAGAGGAATTAGGATTATGAATGAATAGAGGAGATATTTACCAACAACTTGCTCATAATACTATAAACCTAAAAAAAATCCCGAGGTCAACAGAATTTCAATAACAAATTGACGTTTCATCTTTTTGTAGGAGCAAAATGGAGTGGAGTGAGGAAAAAAACATCCTATTGATCAGAGAAGTTCTAAATGTGGAGCCATACAATGCAAAGGAAAGGACAACACAAAGGGCTCAGCTATGGCAACAAGTTGCAGACAATCTGAACAACCATCACAGCCCAAAATTTAAGGTGGATAAGAGAGCAGTGAGAGACCWYTTGAACATGATAATTGAAAAGTTCAAGAAAAAGATGAAGAATGAGGAAAGTGCCAGTGGCATTAGTCCAGAACTGACTGAACTAGATGCTCTACTTGAGGAAGTCATTGGACGTATTGAGGTAGCAAATGAAGTGGTTCAGGTAGAAAAAGATAAAACCAAGGAAAAAATGGAGAAAGAAAAAAAAGAAGCAGAAGATGTCAGGCTTAAGGCAATGGAGAAGCTAGCTGAGACTWAGAAAAGWAGTGGGGATGAAGAACCAAAAGAGAAAATCAGTAAACGGAGAAGATCAAATGGAACTGATACAGTAAATTACCTGCGAGAGAGGGCAGAAATAGAGCAGCAATACAGAGAACAAGAGCTAGAGATAAAAAACAAGCAACTGGAAAGCAGCATGCAACATAAAGTGCAGTCAGATCAACAACACAAGGAATTTATCCAGCTAGTCTTAAGTCAACAGCAGCAGCAACAACAGCAAAACCAGCAGCAGATGCAGCAATTCCAAATGATGCTCAACCAGCAGCAGCAACACCAACAGCAGTTGCTTATTACCCTCTTGAGTAAGAAAACAGATTAATATTTGAAAGTTTGTCTCCTTTTATTGTACTGTGAGAATTTTGGAGCTGTTGATGAGACACATTTTTCAAAAATTGTTACAGGTTTCATTCTCCATCTGAAAAAAAGCAGTTGCACCATAAATTATATTTATTTACAGAATTTGTGAATTGACTTATTAAATATATTATATTTGAACGGTTGCTTAAAGCAGACTTTTAATTTTTACCCATAAAATCATCCAGATTTTTAAATCTGTAAATTCAAGTTGTAGTTATAGTATGTATTAATCTGATGGATAGAATATCAGCAAAGAGACAATTAGTTATTTCATTCAATAAAGATGCATTTTAGATATTTCATTGCCTAAAATGTCTGGTTATTGTTTTTCTTTAAAAAAACATTCTATATACAGATATCATTTCCAATTATTTACATTATTTACATACTTTATGTAACACTGGAGAAAGACAATCAGCACCAGTCAAAATTTCACAGTACAAGAAATGACCAAAGTCATAGTCAWGGCATAAGTAAGTAATACCTGCTCTTTAAATTTACATTTCCTTTGCTCACCTTCTTTTAAAGTACACAAAGCAAAA